TTACTTTCTTATTATTTTTTTACACTTAATCACTATGTATCATTAAGGCATACAAAACGAGTTTACTCAGCATGAGTACACTATATATTAGTCCAGTCAAAGTTATTACCATACACATTATCATCAGCAGATAATTGTACACATGATTTAAATCAACAGTTACACTCTTAGAAGGCCTTAAAAGCAATAATATATATGCAGGCTATTAACGTGGGCATGGCTCATAAGGTTGCAAAATTAGAAACAAGCACTCAATCATAGAGTGATTAAATAAATGATGAATCATCCATATAAAGAAAAACTATGCAGCTATTAGAGATGACATTGTAAAAGCATATTAATTAACGTGAGAATGTATTCATGATATTCTGATCAGTAAGTGAAACTGGCTCCAAAGTAATATGCATCGTTAGTGCCATTCGTGTGTTTTTTAAGGTGTGTACCTGTACTTAAGAATTATAGGGGGGAAAGTCTGGGAAGATATACAACAAAGTCTACTTCTCAATGATTTTTGCCTTTGATGTGGTATTACGGTTTATCTAAAATTTTTATTTTTGTTTGCAATTTGTTTTTCCATACTGAATTACTATAAATAATAACCTATTATAAAGTATCTGTTCTTATAAATTATTGCCTCAACTTGCATGTTAAATTCCATAATGTGAAAGGCATCCATTTCTCAGAATAAAAATATTATCACTTGAAAATATTACTAGCAATTAAAAAGATCAAATAAAATGAATATTTTAGTACCTAAAAAATAGACCACAATCATTTTTCTCTCGAAATTTTTTATACTTTATTCCAGTCTTCTGGCATTTAGTTTGGGGAGGAATCGGATATCACTCGATTTATTCCATTTTGGATATTTTTTATTATTGCCTATATGCATTTTTTCTTTATATTTTAAAAAAGATAGTAGAGAGGGTAAGTGTAGATACCAGAGACTGTAGGGTAGGGAAACGGATAGTAGGGGGTGGGTGGGAGGAACAAAGAGAAGAAATATTTTTGTAAAGTTCTCTGTTGGAAAAAATATCTGTAATTTTTGCTTTGTTAAAAAATAACAAATTTAAAACATTTTTTAAAAATCCACACCTGAATATTTGTATATTCAGGGGACTTTATTATATTATACTGTCATTACTGAGAGCTTCCAATCTAAAGTTAGATCTCTAGTTAAAGGAAATTTTCCTTTAACATTTTTTTCTTTGGAATTACCTACCTTCTGTTCTGCTCCTTTTTAAGAGTTAGTGTTGCATATGTATTGTTTCCCTCAAGTCTACTCTCCATATCCCTTACTATTAATCTCAGTCATTTCTTTCATTTTTTTTTTCTGGTTTCTGGTAAAATTATCAAGTATTTCTGATGAAATTATAGGACCAAGAGATTATCTGCTCTTCACTACTTCCACTGCTTTTTAAATTCTGTTATCATGTTTTCATTTGAAAGCAATGTTGCCTGGCTCTTTCATAGGTCCAAGAGCCTCTCAAAGCTTCTTGTAAGAGCAAATAGGAGCTAAGCTATGAAGGAGAGACATTGTATGTCTCTACTTAATATATGCCAAAGTGTTCACACTCTATAGCTGAAACTGAATGACTAGAGTATATAGAAATATAGAAAATGGTTATAAATACCAGATACAGTGTGGGAAGAGGGTGGGTGAAGGAAGAGATTCTGAAGAAGGACATTAAGGAGAAAAATAGGGAGGCAAGGCATTTATGAGACAAAGAAATGGCTTATCATCTGTTGAAGATAATGTGTATAGTATTCTCAACTGGACTGGTGAGAAATGTATACATGTTGGAATATTCCCTTTGCAAGCTAAGTGACATATGTGATTGATTTTATAAAAGAAATGGGAATTAAAAAGTATATTAAAAAAACATTTAAAAATACATTAAAAAACACATTTCATCCGTTTCTTGAAATCCCCTTTCTTTTAAAAAAAATTATTTATTTAATTCCATTTGTTATTATTATTTATTTAATTTGACCATACAGAGACAGTGAGAAAGAGAGAAAGGAAAAACGAGAAAGCAAGCAGCCAGGTCTAGGACTCAAACCGCCGTGGACCACTTGAGAGTCCAGCGCCTTTATCCACCGCGCCACCTGTCAGTCTCAAAATTCTTTCACAGAGGCATTTACTTTTTCTTCAGATAGGTTTCCACATCAGCCCCATTGAGTTTCCAGTCATTTTCTCTTTCTGCTCATCCCTATGAAATGTAGTCCAGTCTGGGGAGTTAAAATGGATTCAGCACAGTAAGGGTCCTTACTCAAATCTTTCAATCCAGATCAAAGAAGGAGTTAAGTGTGGGTTTGCTGTGGTTCCACTCTTCCCAGCTGCCTTCCCACTGTAAGAGGGGCAGCCTGGAGGTACTTAGAGCCTTACTCCCTCCTTTAATCCCTAGAGCTCACTCCCCCAGCTGTTCAAGACCATGGGAAACTGGGCATTGGCCCCTCTGCTGTCAGTTTCTTTTCCTGATGCCCAGTGCATTCTCAAAGCTAATAGCAGGTTTGGCCTCGCATACTCCCTCAAGCCCATCCTCTTCACCACCCTACAACCTTCTTCATTGAGGTAGGTTCCTTTTATAATTTTTTTCCCGAGTGAGTTACTCTTCCTCCAACTGGTTAGACCCTCCTTAGGGTCTCAGCTGCTCAATAACCTCAAGAAATTTGCTCTGGCCAGTGAGTGACACCCTGCACTTGTTTCCAGAGCTGAAATTAATTTTTGCATTTCCTTGATTACTTCAGGGATTATTTCAAAGTCCTTACTTCAGGCTATTTGAAATACATGTTGCATTATTAACTACACTGGGCTTAAACTATAGTATTACATACAAATTTTGAGGTTCGTTTCTTTTTATATATTTTTTTTCCAGGTGATAACTTAGCAAAGTGACTTATTTTTATGAGCTTATCTTTCATCTGGCCAATTTATTGATTCTAACAGTGCTTAAGCTGTTCTTTTTTGTTTCCAAGAAATGCTTCATGTTATCTATAAACAATGATTTTTGTCTCCATCTTTCTAGTGATTATACCTCGTATTTCTCTTTCATGTCATATTGTGATGTCCAGATCTTCCACACTATTAAGTAATAATGACTTTTTAAGCTTTCTCACTATTCTAGGAACACCTCTAACATGTTGCCATTAAGTAGGCTTTGGGGGCCCAGCTGCAGTGGTGCAGCAATAACACAGTGCTCTGCAATTCTGGGGGAAGTGCTGAAATTAGGATTGGTTTCCGGGTCAAATGCACATGCTGGGTGCACAAATGCATGCCTGATCCTGGTTCACTAGGAAGGTTGAGGGAGGATCACAACATGAGGCTCTGTTAAGGGTGCCTGTCTTCTCGCACTCTGTCTCTCATGAAAGAAAAAAAACTTTTTTTTTTTTAAGTAGATTTTTGGGACCAGCCAGTGGCATGATAGTTAAGACAGCTGGGTACCATATGGCTGAGTAGATGGTTTGAGTCCTGACCCATTGGCTTGAGAAACACACCAGACATGTATGAATATGTGCCCAAAATCCAAAAGGAGGAATGGAGGAGAAGGAATTGCGGCATGTCCATCTCCCATGGCAGATGCTTTTTCACTTTCTCTCCCTTTCTCCAGCAAGCACAACCACCCTCTAGCAATTTTTTTAAAGGAGTGGGGTTTGGGTTATTGTTTTCACAATTTAAGTTTAATATTGAAAATTTGTTGAGAAAATGTTTCACAATATTTATGTATTTTAATATTCTAAGATGGATCATTCTATTCTTAATATGATAAAGAGTTTCATCAAAATATATCAGCACGTGTTTTAAAAGGTATTTTTAATGTACTTTATGGGTGAAAGTCATTGTAATTATATTCCTGTGTCTCTTGAAAAAAATCTAGTTGGTCATGGTGAATCAGGCTTTTTATATACTGACTGGTTATACAAAATAAGACTTTAGATCAATACTGAAAAGTAATGTTTGTCTTTTTTATGATGCTTTTGTGAGGTTTTGGTATCAAGGATAGTTATTGTTTTAAACACTGTTTGTATTTTTGAACCAACATTAGAATTAGCAAAGGAATATACCTATAAATCCAGCTGTCTGTAGAGCCTTTTATAGAAGAAACCGTAAGTTATTTTCTACCCAGGAGTAATTTTTTTTATTATAAACTCATGATTTTTTAATTAACATACAATAATAATACATATTCGTGGGTTATGATGGTTTTTTTGGTTTTGTTTCATACTTTTTTCTTTGCTTCATATTTTAAATAAGATATTTATTGTTATTATTTTACATTCAATCACTATATAGCATTAAAACATACAAAATGAATTTTCCCAGCATGAATACATTATATATTAGTCCCATCAAAGATATTACTATATGTATTTTCATCAACAGATAATTTTCCATTTTTGTATCCCTTAAATGTTTTGCTTCTTTTTTTCCCCCTTGATTCCTTCCCCCATTTCCCACCATCCTCCCACACTGTCTCCAGTGTCCATAGTTGTTCCCATGCTTTCATATCTTCCAATATCTCAGTTTCTGCCACAGTAAAATGAGCTGAATAGACAACTTTCCAAGGAAGATAAATGAACAGTCAAAAAGCATGTGAAAAAAATGCTCAGCATCCCTCATCATAAGAGAGATGCAAATCAAAACTACAATGAGATATCACCTAACCCTAGTCACAGTGGCTAAGATTTAAAAAGTAAGGAATGGTAAGTGCTAGTGAGGCTATGGTGAAAAGGAAACTCTCCTATACTGTTGGTGGGAATGTAAATCAGTATAGCCACTGTGGAGAACAATATGAAGGCTCCTCAAAGACCTACGAATAGAACTACCATATGATCCAACAATCCCACTCCTGGATATCTATCCAAAAGAGGGGAATACACTCAGTCAGAAAAACACTTGCACATCTATGTTTATCCTGACATTATTCACAATTGCTAAGACACAGAACCAACCCAAATGTCTACAAACGAATGAATGGATAGAAAAAGTGTGGCACATATACACTATGGAATATTTCATGAATCTCCATATCATCCTTGCACAGGGACCACGCCAATCTTCTCTATATCATTCTAACTTTAGAACATGTGCTGCTGAAGTGAACACTACACTATGGTACTATTCAACCATAAGAAACTATATTTTTGATTCCATCAAGGCTACTTTAGTATTTCTTCTTTTTCTATTTATTAATTTATGTATTTTAAATATCTATTTTGTAATGACTTAATTTAATAAAATACAATTATACATCATATTGTTTTTAAATTTCTACTTTGTTTTTATTCCAAAATAATTACCAAAAGTATCTTCTATTGTTTTTCACTTATAAACTTCTTTCTTATTTTAATTTTTTCCCTCCTACTCTTTAAGTTTGCTTAAATGCACATTTCCTGGACTTAATAGTTTAAAGTTTAGCTCACTTATTTTCATTTTTCAAATAATAAAATCATCAAGTAAAATTAATTTTTTCTTTTTTCTATAAGCACTGATACAGAATGCACTGATA